GGACTGCCTTTTCTCTTTCTCTTCCCTAAATTGTCTCCATAGACATAGATGTGCATGAATACACTGACATACACTATGCAAATTACTATCCTGGATATGATCATTCCTGCTTAGACAGACCATTGCTTTTTGTTGAATTTTGATGAGTACACATTGATGAGTACATGTTGAAAATGAAGAGAAAAATATTTGTTAACTATGTCAGTCCCTGTACTCCATTTTAATTTCATTTTACAAAGGCATTTGAAAGCAGTGGAGAAACTAGCATGAACTTTTAGTTTTATTTCAGTTTTCTCATGTCCAAATTATAAAAGGCTGATCCCAATTCTTTGGGTAGAGCAATTTAATTTAGCTCCAAAGATGTATTTATTTTTTTCTACTTTTTGCTATACAGATGCCCACAGCTGAAATTGCTCACAGAATTACTGCATTCCAAATGCTTGCACAAATATGCATTTGAGGAATAGTTTCCTTTTATTTAAAGTTATCTGAAAGGAAAAATATTGGCAAAATACACCATTCTTGATAGAGTTTTCAGTAAAAGTAAAACAGAATTTTAAAAAAATATATTCTAGGTGCCTATTCCATTCAGCCCCAATTTGAGTAACCCTAGTGTAATTCTGATGTTTAATTTTGCTATAATTTATTCTCAGGGTCTTCCCCTGCCTCCTATGGAAGCTTACAAGACTACCATGCAGTTTCATAAGAGGGGTGGATATAGTAAGTTATCCTTAATTTTCTTACTCTTGCCCCTAGTAAATGGCCTGTAAATTAGATAAAGTAACTAGTTTTGCCATACTGTGATGTAGGACACTTTTCAAGCCATTCACCCATTAGAAAAGAGTATGACTTCCTTGAGCTGCATTATCAGAGCCATATGCTTTATAATCTGCAAAATAGCATGTTTATTCTGTTTGGGGTACTTAATTCTTAAATTTGTTCATTCATTCACTTCTAACAGAAAAAAATAGGGTATTGCCTTCTCAGCCAGGTGCAACAATTAAAAATAATTACACTGTAGCAAAGGCACACAAAATTCTCAGACCTTGAAGCACCTTCCAAAAAGTTATCATGAAGTTGTCAATTTTCTTTTTTCTTTATCTCCCCTAAAACCTATTTTCAGAATTGCAAGTTCATTTGCTAGCAACATATGGCTGCTGAATGGAAGCTACAACTTACTCTTTATCAATACCTTTGCAGCTGAATTATACTGAGGAAAACTGTACTTATTAAAACATATACATTAAACAAAATTTGGATGAAGTATTTTACTGTAGTCTTTAAAGTTACATAACTACAAAAGATAATGTCAGTAAATGAAATATATACTTGGCTAATTAATACACCCAATTAAAAAAAGGCACATAATTCTCTTTTCATTCCCATTTAGGCCCCTATTCAAAAAAGCACTTAAGAATATTCTGCTCTTTAATGCCTACAGTACTCCTTTAGGCATATGACCAACAAAGTGTTTAAGGATGCACTTAGGCATGTGTTTAAGTAGTCTGCTAAAACCAGATGTTAGTCTAGAAGAGCATGCAAGGGAAAGCACTCATCCCCCTTGGATTGAAGAATCTCTTAGAAATGCTTCTGACTCAAAAAGAAGCACAGTAAAATAGAGTACATGTTCATCCCAACTGAAAGGAAAAGCAGGATATGCTCTCAGAGGCTGACAAAACCCTGCTCTGTCACCAAGTCCAAAGCAGTAAGACAAAAGTAAGGAGGTAAACAGAAATTCACAGCACTTGCTGCACAACCCTCTTCAGAGTTACTTGAAATCAGTGGTTCAAATTTGCTTTTTAAGCAAAAAGCACAGGAAAGGCTGTCATTACACTAGCTGGTATCACATCTAACCTCTACATAATTAAAGCCTTTTTTCATATTCACTTTGTTACTTAGAAGACACTGCTTAGTAAACTCATGATGTAGCTTAGACTGTTTGTTCATAGTTTTGCTTTTTTCACTACCACAAAACCATAGCAACCTAAACACCAAATATTTATTTTCTTTCTCAAACACTGCAAGTTATTTTATGAAAAATTTTATGCAAATTGGGCAATACATTGACTCATTCTGTTTGTCTCTCTTGTATGTATCTCTAAGGCATCTATTACCATGGTGTCTAAATGCTGTTGTATCTCAGTATTTGCCAGCTTTGTTGTAACATAAGTGGTATCATCATTTTTGTCCACTTTTATATAGTCTTTTTATACAAACTCTAAGGAGATATTTAGCTACGACAGAACAGTCGTGGATTAAATGCAAAGAAATATTTTTTATACTAATATACACAAATCAGTGGTAAAATAAAAGTCCTTACTGTTTTCTTCAGTCTTCATTTACTCTGAAAATACAGCCTCTACTAGTAGAAGGTGCTCTGTTGATGAAGGCTTCTCTGATTTCAAAAATCCTGGACTCTACTTTAAATCACTTGTATTCTACCTCCTAACCAGTTCTTATAACCACACTTGCCCACACAACACCACACCGTCCTAATAATTTTTGTAGTATTTAATTCAATTTACTTCCCTCTTTAGAACTCATTCAGATTGTATCACCCCCTAAAACATACTTTGACTATTTTAGATCCAGACCAGTGTCTTCCCACAAACAAGTCTTGCTACTGCGAGACCTGGGTTGTGTAAGCGAGCCTGAAGAGCTTCCACGCTGCTGCAAACCAGACGAGAGACAAGTAACAGTGACAATTGTAAAAATACACCTACTGCTGATGGTAAAAGTTAAGACCTTCTTTTTCCCTCCTCCTCCTTTAATAACAGTCAAATGGAGAGCACAGGAAACAGCAAGTAAACTTTATATCTGAAAAAGTTAATGTGGGCCAAAACATTGTGATGGTGTATTTGGCTCAACTTTAAATAGAATGGTTTTTCTTCCCAAATATTAAATGAAAAAAGTATAACGAGAAGGAAGTGAAATGGAAAATTGCTAAAGCTGAAGAACATCACACAGAAAGAAACAGCATTTTTCTAACAGCTCTGAGATGATATGAGAAAGAGAGAAAGGGTGTGGAGGAGGGGGAGAGGGAGGGAGAGGCAAGACAAGGAAACATGAAGCAGGCTGAAAACAGAATGTGAAATAATTGTTATGGAAAGACTAAAAAAAATTAGGAGAGAGGGTAAAATCAACAGAAGCATTTTCCTTTCAGTACTGTAAATATTCTATAGAGTAGATTTTCCACAAAAAGCTTAAATGTAACTGGACTGGTCATCATTTATAAAGCCAGATTTTTTGTAGTTCATCTTGCCATGAGCCAGACTGCTTCTACATTTTTAACCTATAGCATATTTTACTCTGTGGAATTTATCTTACTCCCTGCAATGCTACATCATAGTTAAAAATTAATTTTTAGCCGATGTTTTCATTTAAAACCTGTTTTTTAAACCATTGATAAGATAGGATTAGTATTGAAAGCTAAGTGCCTCCAAACACAAAAAGGGGGAAATGTCTCACTTTGCAGCTGTTAGTAAGGATGGCAACAAAGTTTGACAGCTGACAGTTGGGGAAGTGAAAGAGCTTGAAATATTACATGAATAAAGCATATTTTGTCTTTCTTAATGGAACATATATAGTAAAATACTCTCCTCTAAATGTAATATTCAGATCCTTCATTGATCAACATGACGCTTTACCACCAATGAAATGCACTGCATTTTTAGCACATCCAAACTCATACAAAACTGATGATTTATATATATACAGCACCTTACATCTTCAAAGTGTTTCTAAATAGCAACACCTTCATTCTCATCCTATTTCGCTAATGTAAAACCCAAGTCTCTTGACATCAGAAATATGTAAACCAAGAGAATTTAGAATTTTTAAAGTTCAAATGATATTAGAGAGATCTAAAATTTCCACTTATATGTGAGAAACATTGCCTAGATAAAAAACTAGGTCCCTGTGAATTTCCACTCTGTGGAGGTGGGCACAGGCATAAAACCTCTTTCTTTGCAGAAAATAAATGAACATCACCATTTCTTTTCAGGATTACAAAATTTTTTGTTGACTAAAGTGTTCACAATCTCTGCCTCCCAAGATATCAAATAATATCACTGATCAGAAATAAAGGAACCAGCCAAACCTGTCCAGTTCATAACTGACTCTTTTTTCTGTATTTTAGAAGTGAGTAGTTGTATCCCTGTATAGCCCAGGGCTATACATATAGCCATACAACTATGGCATTGTTTAAAAAACTTCCACATCATATAGGTTTATATGACTGCATACACTATATTTCAACATATTTTTGAAATTACTTAATTGGATGTACCTTCTTGCAGCTGGCCTACTGAAATTCAGGATTGCTAGCAGGGCCAGTTGCTATGAGAGTTCAACCATTTTGTAAAAATGACTGGTAACACTGTGAGTGGTGCTAAATTCCTGGACAGATTAAATGAAGCTCATCCCTCTAGATATGAAACCGCTTCAAGCTGCTTTTTTAAAGCCACATAACAAGTCTTTACTCCTTATATTACTGTTCCATTTTTTATTCCCTGTCTTAACAGAATTTTCATTCTTCTAATTCTCATGGGAAATTGTGTTAAAATTCAAGAACCTGACCTTAGGTTGCATTGAATATTCCCATTGACTTCAGGCCATAAAAAAGGAAAACTGTGAAGAAGAGTTATACTCTGTCAGGAAGAATATGGCTCCAAATGCTGGAATCATCCTGACAGCTCTATTTCAGAAGTTAGCCAAGGAGAAAAAAGGGGCCAGGCATCTTGAAAATTACATACACATACCTCACACACATGTATACACACACAAAGCATGGAGAATAGAGGAGAGAACCTGGAAAGAAACCCTGCCAATTTATCAAGTGGCAGATGAATTATCCCCAAGAGTTTCATAGAAGCAGCAGCCACCCCATTTTAAGGTGAAATTTTATTTCAATCTCAGCTGCAGCATAATCTCAGATCCATCTGTTTCCCCCATTCCCCCTCCCTTCCCCTCACAGTCCCCCTGCTCCCTTCCCAACTCACATGCCGAATAACTCAGAGGCATCACTTCATCTCCAGTACCATAGGTTTCATGGGCCCATCTAGGTAGGAACTGCAGGAAGAGGGATGGGATCGATTACAAAAAAAAAAAAAAGAAAGTAACAAATTTATTTCTGCAAGTTTTCATTCCAATCAAAGCTTAGGAACTGCATGTACCTTTTTGATAATTTTTGGTGTGTTTAAGAGTATTTTGAACATTCTCCCCACCAAAGAATGTTTTAGGGAAAATTAGTGGATTTACACGGAAAAAAAATGGAAAACTGAATCTATGTCAGGTGTCTAGCTCTTACTATTGTTTCCACTCAATACCTACTCCTATTTATTTTTCCTATATGATGACTCTGCTTCAAGTTCTCTGGATATTATGCTACACAGAAAATAAGTCTTAAAAAAAAAAAAAATTGGAATTTTCCAGTGTTTGCTCTTCCTCAATTCCAGAAGCACATTTCACCTCTGAGTTTAGCAGGCAGACTCCTAGGTGCAGTTTCATTATTGGCTTGAGCTAACCTAAGTATGAATTGTGCCAAGAGGCAGGCCCACTCTCTCCACTCTTCCTCCCCTCCTTGCCTCAGACCTAGGTAAATACTCTTCTCCTGTTTCATCATCAGTTCTCATGCTGCAACAGAGTCAGCCAGATCAAAAATACCAAAATGATCCACCTGAGATCTGAGCCACACACTAATTTTCAGATGGCTCCTGACACAGCTGATCGTGAAGCCAGGAGCAACCTCATTTTCCCTAGGGAGGCAGCAGAAAGATGCAGCAGAAAGATGCAGCTGAAGCAGGGAGGCAAGGAGAGCAGTACCACCATTTTCAGTAGCAGCAGCAGAGATTTAAATTTGCTGAAACTTACTGCAAAACCACACCTTCTTTATGCTACAAATGACAACTCCCAAATAAATCAAACTGTAAAAAAGAAAAAAACAGAACTCAACCCTTGATTTTGAGTGTTCAAAAAGACAAGAAAGCACAGAGGTTCTCCTGAACCAGAAACACCAGATTGCACAGAGGCACATTTGAGTATGTTTCCAAAGCAGAACTATTAATACTACCTGGATGCTGTGCCTGCACTAACTCTTGACTTAGAAGCAGTGCTAGTAATTATGGCAGTATATCCCTTAAGCTATGTGTGATAACGTGTGCACCACAATTTTCTTCCCATTAGGCTAAGGGAGAAATTATCTGGCCTTTCTGGGTGTGTACAGAGAGCACTCTGGGAAGTAGCTGGAAGATATACAGTAATACACATGGGCTGTAGGCCCAACTTTCAGCAGCAGTAATCCCACGAGAGTGACTGCATGAACACTGCTAGTTTATACCTTCTGATGTCCAGTCAACTGAAGTTTACTGTGCTCCAACGTTTGTGTTGGAATGTTAGGAAACTGAATCTACTAAAAATTCGAATAACAGCTGCAGCACTTTCAAGAGATGCCTTTATATCACTTAAGATAGGCAAAAGGCCAGGGAAGCATGGCAAACACAAGCAGACTGGTCCAGCCTCTGTTGTCTTAAATTGTGCCAGTGGGCTAGTTTGCATCTGGGATGGGAGGAAAGCAGTTCACTGCCCTTGTGCAATCCAACTCCCCAGGAACACCTGATGCAAAACTATGCAGAGAATCTGAAATACTGCAGGAAAAAACTTCCAGTTTTAATAGTTGACAACAGCAACTCTAAGTATTCCATTTATATTTCTGCTATGATACTTCAGAAGATCTTATCCTGGAACACTTGAGTCTAGTGACTAATTACATAAGCATTGTTCGTTTTGTGTCCTTATTACTCTAGGAGCGTGTTCACAAAGTTAGTCCTTTATCTGTGACGCACTTCTGAAAGAGAAAAACAAAAAGGCAGAGGAGCCTAGGGATTTGATTAGTTTCTTCCAAGATATTTAATTGCTATTACAGCCAGAAATATGCAAAATACTATAATAAAATTTTCTTTTTTGAGGGAGAAACTTGCATTTAATACTAGCACAAATTCCATGTGACAGCAAGTAAACTCAGGAGTTCAGAAAGCAGAAGATGGTACTGGTTATATGTAGTTAGTCTTATAAATTTGGGACACAGAATCAAACTTTAACATTCTACATGAAAAGCCAGAATCTTTCCGAAAGATCTTTTACAAATCAGCAAGACTGGAAACAATTTGATAGAAGGCTTACCATGCATGCTCTGTCAGCCATTTCACTAGAAACTCATTTTGGCTTTCTCTGAGGTAGAGATATACCACAGCTAAGAGATAGTTATTAAATCTTCTTTATACATTCGGTATGAAATATATTAAACTACAAAAATACTATATTCAAATAAGGTTAAGGATCTGACTTAAACCCACAAAGACATGGAATTTTAGAAATATTGTGTCTTCCTACCCTTTACTCTCCTCCTGAGTGTGGCTAGGCATTGTAGCAGAAATGAACTAATGCTCAGGTTCCTTAAATATCTTTCATTTTACCTTAAAGGTATTTTCTCCTTTAAGGTTCTTTCAGTTTGCATCCTCTCTGTGGGTTAAATTCCGCCCTGGACAGTCTGTTTGTTTCTTTGTTTTTGTTTCTTTTTTAATAATTTCATTTTTTAAATGCTTATAGAAACATAAAATTGGAAAAAAAATGAAGCAAAAGTATATAATTGTTAGTCTCGGCAACTGACTATTTTTACTTTTATTTTTTAACACATAACTTACAAATCCCATGTTCATGGGAGACAGGCAGGCAGATGAAATGACTCTCAGCAAGTGTAAGCACGTTTCAGCTCTCTCCCTGCCCCCCATGCAGTTTCACTTATACATATGTAAATACCATTACGTATTTCTCCAGTGAACTAAATCGGACCCTTGCAGTTGACACTGAACTAAGACTTTGTCCCACAAAATGCCTTGGGACCTTCTTCCATGATAGACTTTTCCCTCTCCTCCTGAATACAACAACAACAACCCGTGGAGGTCACAACTTTATTCAAAAGAAAGTAAGATGTTTTCAGATCATCCTTCCAGGGAGCTTCCAGCTTTAAAACCATCTCTTCCTGCCCTCTGGCACAGTAGTTTGGGCCTGCTGACTTCTTGGGCAAATTGCAAATTGTGTCTTCTCAATAAAACTTGAAAGCAGGGAAATTCTACTGCAAGGAGAGGAAAGGGTATCTTAGGAGGATGGGTATTTTTTTTCTACATTCTACAACTGTGAACAAGTGTGTTTCTTCTTATTCTCTTCTATTTTGAGTCATTTTTTGTTTTTATTTAATTATTGCCAGTGCATTGTGCAGCCAGTCAATTGTCTCCATGAAGCTCTTATAAATTTATATGGACTCAACAAATTGTTAGAAACTTAATCATTTTAAATATGGCTTGGGGTATATTCAACTCTGTTAGACTTACACATGCTACTGAAGAGTCTCTTTTTAAAGATGAACAATCAATATAGACTATTCATTCCCTTCAACTGGTATTCCTGTAAACTGCTAAAAAAACAGGACAATGGTCATTCCAACAAGAAAACAGTGTTGATTACTCTCTGGTAGCCAGAGTAGAAAGAGATGATTTGGAGAACATCCACAAACAGTAATCTTCGCAGTTTGACTGTGATATAAGTAAAACATACAAAATCCTCAAACAAATAATCCACAACAAAATAATATAAGGCTTTAAAATAAAACCACTGATGTAGATTTAGCTTAATATACCACAGAACAAGACACAGAATTTCATGGATTAAGGGAAATGAAGATATTCCTTAAACAGATAATATTTAACAATAGTAGACAATCTCCGCTAAAGAGCAAGAGAAACACGAAGTAGTAGCATTCATCCAGGAAAGGTATTTCTGCCTTATACAGCAACAAAGACAGACTTTCAAGAAAAGCTCATCCATGAGAAATGGTGATCTCCTACTGCTGCCAAGGTCAGTCAGACCTGTTGTGATTCTGTAAATGCTGACTCTATCACTTAGAGTTTTCCAAGGAATTCTTTACTTTTATTTTTATTGTGGAACAAAGCTACGACAAGAAACTATCAAACTAAAAAGCCCAGAAAAAGAAGACACAGTTTTTATCAGACTTGAGAGCGACAGCTGCATTGAGGGGAAAAAACCTTATAAGAAAGGGGATCTGAAGTTCCTGGAGATCCACCAGAAAAATGCTGAAGTCTCAGCAAAGAAGGAAATTTTGTTCTCAAGCCAGCAGTCCAACAGTTTATCACACTCCTTAAAAACTGATTGTGGATGACATGTGGATGACATATCTGTATCAGCCTATCAAGCGTGAATGCGACTGATTTGCTACAACATGAAGCTCTAACGGAAACTCCCAACACACTTTTACTATACCTCAGTCACAACCTTCTGCACTTGAAATGCCAACTGTGCCCCCTATGTGGTACGTTTCTGATGATAAACATTGCCCTTTAAGGAAGGAGAATGAATTCAATCAAGTCATTTTGCTTTTTACTTTCTCTAGTTAAAAAATAAAGTGAAAAGAAAAACATAAGCTATAATACCTTCTAGGCCTAAAAATAATCTTTTACTCTGTGAACTCTCTGCTATATATATATGTACTCAGAAAGAACAAGAGTTTGAATCTCTCTATATTAACATCTATAATTTTGAACTTGAAGTACTAATTAAAATCACCTAAAAGAAGGTACATAGGCCACTTTTTTACATATTGAGTTGGGAATCTCCTGTTGAAAGACCTACCTTGCTTGGAGATTTAATAAACATCCATCTCTTCATAGAGACCTTGTGAATATAAAGGACAATGAAAACTTCTCCCTAGAAAAAACATCTGAGACAGCAGAGCACAAAAAAGAGGTTTTAAAAGAGGAGATCTGCAAAAATCTCCTCGTGCCAGGAGAGCTCATGCAGGGGCAATTCAGCTCTATTTGGGAGTTTATTAAATAGGAGAATGATGACATCATTGTTCTGAACTGAAAACCAATTAATCACCTGCTTGACATCTGTCTTGAAGATGGGAATTCCCTTTTGAATGCTACATAAAAACTAGGGATACAGGCTAGTCCTGTCTCTGCTTGTGACCAGTCCTCTGTTCCATCTTTTCTTTCTCT